TCCTTCTTTTCTATCAAACACCTATCATCTTTATCTCCCCTCTTTCTTTTTTGTGTTTGTTACTCTCTTGTAACACCTCTAATCTTTGGCTTTTATAGACCTTAATGTGACACAAGTACCCTAAAACACTTACTTAAAAAACCCATCTCTGCTATCGTCATCATCTCTCCTTCCTTTCTGTGTTTCTGTATTTGTATTTCTCTTATGACACCTTTTAATCTTCGGTACTTATATGACTATATTGTGTTGCAAGTGCCGTAAAACGCTCACTATAACTACAGAAGAGGACGTGCTAAGTCGTGCTGTGTGGTGGCGGGTGGTTGGAGGGTGCCACTACTGGCATTTCTTACTTTTCTTTCCCTTTTTTTGTTTCTGTTTATCTGTTATGTTTCTGCCCTGCGCTATAAGATCGTAATTGTTGTGTCGATGTTCTTCTCTTTACTTAAACTCAAACTCAAGCTCAATTTCTCAAACGCTGAGTAGTACTGCGATTTTATGGAATCGAAATTTCATCGTAGCTTTGAAGTGTGAAATCACTATTCGCGCATTTCGAATACCGAGTGCGAAATGTTTGTATGTGGAGGTGGGTTGGTTGTTAAAAAGTCTCTCTGCTCCGTAATATTTAAGCACAAAGTCTTGCTCTATTTACCTACATAAATTAAGTTTGTTTATAATATGCTCTAATTTTACAACTGGTTGAGAAAAATGAGACGACAATCCGTTATCTATTAAAATAACAAACCCACACACAGCATTCGAATGACTGCCACGCTTCGAGTAGCTGTGAATTGCGAAACAATCGTGATTGTTGAGTAGTTGGGTGGAATGGACATAACATAGCTGTAGTACTGAGTGCTGAGACCAGGAATTATTACCCTCACGGACGGTCCCGCCCCGCCTCGGTGACGTACGAATTGTATCGTGTAATTACTGGGTGGTGATAGACTGCGCGTGCGTGATTTGCTACGTGATCTCCTCATGTTGTTGGCTATTTCTAATCTCTTCGTGCTTCCAGGCGTTTTTTTTTTTTTAGGGGAGGGGGTTGTTTTTGTTGGGTTTTTTTTTTGTTTTTTT